GATATTTGTATGTACGTATGTAATTCATTCTACCTCCTTCTAGATATGGTCCCATTCCGTTGAATACCTGCAGAAAAGCACGCAGTCGGGGGTCCCGTGCAGAACGGCTGTATTTTATATCGATCTCTGACTAGGAGGCGCAGTGACAAGCGTTTTTCATCCCAGGCTTCTCCCATCTTATCCTTCCTCTGTGCCATGATTCTCTAAGGATTTCTACCACTTTGAAATCACCACTTATTCAAGAAGTAACATCGCCAATATGAAATTGTGCGCTGGACATTATTTGCTAATCAGTTTCTTCATCATTACGCAATGTTTGCTGATTTTTCTACGATATACCCTGCATGGAGTCGATTACTACCGACTGAGGCGTATTCACAACTTGGTGAATATGGAATTTGTGATGGTGTTGGGGTCGATGTTTATTTGGAAGAGGGTCACCGATGCATTGAGGTTAGTTAAGTATCTTATTTTAAAACTGACTGTAAGAAAATGATAGCTGGATGTATGCGGGAAAACCTTCCGCACTTATTTTAAGTTGTCGCAGAGTTTTTGAAACGATCTCTAGTAAAAGGGTTTAAACGTTGTCGTGGGCCTACGTCCTTCAGCTCGTTTGTTTTTGTATAGCAAGGAAAGAAGAAGCCTGAGGCTTCTCTTGAAAGATATAAGAGCCAAACTCAAAAGAAATACCAAGAAATGAGGTTCTAAGATTGAAGGATAAGAACCGGTTGTGTGGGTGGTCTGCGACGTAGTCTATTGATCTTTGACGTGGTCGATATGATCATGTTCGCAAAATTGACCAGATTTTAAGGGGCTTTAAAATATTCAATTTGCAAATCTTGCTTTTTGAAGAGTTTACCTTCATGCTTTTGTACATTTTTTAAAAACCGTTTTATACTCGAAATTAAGCTAGGATTTTGCTAGAATCCAAGAAATCTCGGATTAGCTAACATATGCTTCAAAATCATAGCTGTCATCTGATCGATGTTGCATCGAAAAAACTACTTTGAGAATTTTCTTGAAATTTCGAGATTTTAAAGCTTCGAAGCCACTCTTTAACAATTTTTTCATTAACTAAGGACCGTCAAAAGATCGGCTGCTCTTGGAATGTATGTTTCTTTCTGCTTGGGTTTTCCTTGCTTTAATCGAGCTACACAGTGTATTAACTTGCTACTCACCTTAACCTTTGCCGTTATCAGCTCCACTTAATGCTTTCAATTCATAGTCTTTATTTTTGGTTTTATGCACAGTTGTCATTATTTTAGTCATCTGGATCCGGACAAGGTCACTCCAGCCCGTTTTCGTTGGCGAACGATATGTTTCCAGGATGTGGCAAGAGCAACGTTATTCATTCTGTTAGCCCTATCCCAAATTTCATTTCTTTTTTACTTTTTCTTTCTTGGTGAGTGGGTTTCAATAGTTACTTGACGATTCACTTAGTCTTATATTAGCTTCTCCTTCTATTTCAGGGAATGAACCTAATGTTCTAGCCCAATTCAGCCTTGTTGGTCTGGCTGCATATCTCCACGCTCTAATTTTTCTAGTCATTGCTGAGTTGATCTATTGGATCAGTACTGGTTTGTTCAAATGCGGTTGGTTCAAATCTCAGTGCAGGTATGTTTCAAGGTTTTTAGAGAAATAGTGTTCTTATAAATGTTCTTCTTTAGGTATATTATCAATGGTCGTTATCTCTACACGTATTTATCCTTACTTTGTGCTTTATTATTCATTTTGGGTGGTCTCTACGTCACGTTCTCCGATCCTGTATACACACGAGTGTCGATTCCCATAAGAGTCAGTTGTTCTTAGACATTTCATATTTTTGCTTTTAGTAACAGCCATTTTTCATGTTTAATGAGATTTCGCTTCGTTGGAACACCAAAAATCCTGCTTAAATCGCTACTTAGATTTTCTTCTTGCTAATTGATGACAGAGCCAATGTCGTACATACTTTTCTATTATTCATGTTCTTTTTTCCGAGTTTCATGTGGATGTTCATTGTCG